TTGTGTTGTTACGTTTCTCGCATTAAACGAAATTTTCTCGAAACACATTTATATTATGAGAAAAAAATGAAAGTCAATTGAATTATTGTCTACGAAAAGGCAACGAGAATTATTACCTCCTCCCCCCCCCCCCCCCCCCCCCCCCACACACACACACACACACACATAACAATATAATTTTGAGGTTGTTCGCATTATATTTACGTCACAGAGAGACGCGTCGGAATGTCGACTTCACATTACAACAACAATCTCGTTGTAACGAGAGCGTATAATGACGGCATCAGATATTAATTTCTCGTCTCGGATAATGAGATATCATGATAACAAAAGCTTGCTCATGACGTAGCAAAACGGCCCGATAAGTTTACAGTGATAGCAAAAACATCAAAAGAAATGACGTAAGACAAATTGATTATAACATAACGAGAAGACGAACACGTTGCAAGATTCCGAGGACCAATAAGATGACTGTCTCCAAGAAAAACGCGATTTCTCGAAGTAACGTTGTATAATTATTAGAGACACGATAAAAGAAAAAAAAAGACGAGTACAAAAAACGACACTATTGGCTTTGTAATCAGAGTCACAACGATAAAAACGCGTGCACATTTATTATCTTTGTTAAGTTCACGATAAAAGATAGAGATCATCTTTTATGCATTGGATGACATGTCTTGTATGAATTTTTTTGCTTTGCTGTATACAGAATAATTAAGAGAATACAGAAAAAGAGCAAAAAAAATTTTATTTTTTTAAGAAAGTAATGGAAAACAAAAGTTTAGATTATGTAAGTAAAAAAAAAAGGTATAGATGTATGTAAAATGTAGAAAAATAAAGTTGATTAAATTTTAATTTAACTCATATTGTTGTATAGAAATTAATATTAAACTACATATAACACAACTGTTTAAATAAAATTAATTAATAGTCCGAGGTAAAAATTTTCTAGTAAAAGCAACACTGAGAAAATTTTCTCTCCAATTATTTGAACTTCTCCAATCTGTCGCTTGCAGCATATTATTTTTTCTCTCTGCAATCGTTTACGTTCTTTCTCCCCAGAGAGTACAAAAATAGGCCCGAGGGACGTGCAATTCCGCTTATGATCAATAAAACGGTTGAAAGCGGTCGTTCACGTGTCGGGCAATGTGGCTGGCCGCCACCTAAAACATCAGCGAGACATTTAGAGCTGCACCCACAGTCGGGCATTCAATGATTTTCCAGCTTGGCCAGTTTTACTTTAACAGCCCCACGCGAAATTACAAAAAACTACTATAAAAAGCCTGTTTTACACAAACCTTTTTCACGTACCGAAAAACAAAAAGTTTCAAAACGAAAACTTTTCTTCATTTTTATACAAATACCATTATAACATCCGTCTTTTTCTCACCGTTATAACATTATCTTTTTTTCCTTGTGGTATCGTCTACGTTTGCCGGCATAGCTCGATGAATAATTATCGGAAAAGCCTCGTTCCCGTATCAGGAGAGACGCGTGTATTTTCTGTACTTCGTAAGGCGTCGAGAAATTCTCATTCCCGGCGAAAAGCAGAGCTTCGATCCTGAGCCCTCGTGACGAGATATCGATCGGTTGCGTGGCATCCTCACGGCACATTTTTCGCGGAGTCGGCCTCGTTAAAAGGCTTTTTAGTTAAGTGGAAGCGACGAGGGTACGAGGACGACTAGTTTATCAGGGTGGAAAAACGTAAGAGCCTGTAGTGTCCTGTGAGGGAAAGGATACGACCGTCATAACAACGATCGTAACAATGATGGCATGTAATAATCTTGAGAACACAAGGTTGTAAAGGTAATTAACCGTGATGTTACATTCTTAAAATCAATATTGAAATTGATACAAACGAGCTTAACTTTCCAGACATGTCACATTAAAATTTAATAAAATAAATGGATAGATGTATTCATGTGAACAGATGTATACAATTGTATTATACTTTCTTGAATCTCAATCTATTGATCGAAATAACACACCTTTCTTTTTAGTACGGCGGTTTTTAATGTTTTTAATATTCGTGTAATGAATCATAGAAAAAAATATGATGAAAAACGTAATGAAGAAAATTTGTTAGCAATTTTCATTATAGAAGAATTAGCTGAATTAGTTACTGATAATTACTTACATACTGATAATTACTTACATTTTTTTTAGTTATAAATGTTAAATTCGTGCAATAAACTAACTGCTTTGCTGAACCACCCAATCTATTTTATCCGTGATAGAACGAGAAAAAATTTACTATTTTTAGCAATGCAAATTTGATATGTTTGCTATTTTTATATACATCATCAATCTTGACTGACGAGCAGAAACTTTCAGGGAAAAATCATGGGTTAGTCTGACGTGCAATCCTCTCAAGCGTTAAACAGGAAAGTTAAAGGGATCGGAAAGCTCTCGGCTTTAGGACAACGTAACAGATCAGAGATCACCCTATGCGATAAGGCCCCGTTTACGAGACTTGTCTATGTTGTGGTATGACTTTGTACTGTCGTGTAACGTTCCTGGTAACATCATTGCTGACAAAGCCGTTTCCCTTAACAGGCGTACAAGGTTGTATACCTGTTGTAATTGCATTAGATTTTAATTAACTAATGTAGTCTCACGTAAGTAACACACCGTTAAATACGCATACCATATCATTGACCGTAATCATACTATTTTACTATATAATAATTATTCGATAATAATAGCACTTATAGACACGAGGGGATAATTACTGACCGAGTTCGAAAATTGAAATATTTTATTACAATAAAACGCATTGATTTCTAACTGGAACAATAACTAATTAACGCATCATCGATTAATCTAAATTTACACGACTTAATTAGATTATTAAATTGCATTTTGTATAAGTGCAAAAACTTTATTGTTAAAAATAAATTCAAATTGCAAAGTAACTGAAATTTCATTAAGATTCTATAAAAATTATTTAGAAGAATTTTTTTGTTTCGAGTACATTTTTACATCTGTTGAGTGTTATAATGTCATAGATAAATAATGAAATAAGGTAACACGAATCACGCAATGGTTAATTAAACAATGCTTCAAATTACCCGAAAGCTAAATGAGAAATTCATTGTGCTGCTATATAAATAAAATTTTGATGCGCACCGCAATAACAACGAAAAATATAATAATAAAAGTGCAATGTATAATATATTATAAAGTATAATGCGCATTGCAGCCAGCGCATAAAGTCCATGATATAATAAAATACGATATGCTATAAAGTGGCGGAAAGAGAAAAACTATGTCAACCGTAAAAATAGGAAAGAGAAAAGAAAACGAGATGGGGAAAGAAGTTAAAATTAGGTCAAATATGAGCTAAGTATTAACGGTCGAGGAGAATAAAAAATTCAATCTGGCTGCTCTGTACGCTCTCGAGATCGTCGGTCGCTTGCTTCAAAATCGAGAAAATTATCCTAACTGTGAGAGGGTTGAAAGAGTTGGGACAAGTTGCGGCACAAGTGCGTGCTCATGTCATTCTACCCTCTACAGACGGGAGGTCGTAAAGGGCGTCGGTTTGGTCGGCCACTTGACCGAGCATAGCAGAGAGAAACGAACACGGCGCGACGCGACGCGGTGGTTCGGTCGATAGGTCACGGTACGAAGGTGAAGTGTGTGCAAACATAATTTTGGTAATGCTTCGAAGAGAAAGCTTTCATATCGGGCGACGGGCAAAAGCGTAAAGCGAACATCTCGTCCGCAGGATTGGCTGGCTCGCGTGTCGCGTCATGTCGCGTCACAATCGATAATTGATTAAATCTTTTTATTTGACGAACATCAAATATTCGCTTACCTTCCGATATACCGTTGACGGGAAGAAACTTCTCACACTTTTACCCGTGAAGGGATACTTTCGTGTAGTCATGAAGCTCGAGTGAAAAGTTCACAACGTATAGGACGGAATAGGATATTTGCCTTGATGTGAGATATTCATGGCCAGGATAAAATATTTTTCTTGTCGAAAGATTAATGGACGGCTAACTTTCGCGTTAATGCTTCTTTCTCTTGCAATTCAGTTGGATTGCTGATAAATTGAATACTCTTGAATAAGTAACGCGTTCTTATCGTATTCATATCTAGACTTATGGAACTTTAATGACGATAAAAATTCTTAAGCGTTGATTACGGATAGTATTTAATATGGATATCTAATATGGATAGTAAGAATAATAAATCTTGAGTCTTTAAAAAAAACCGTTATCTTCTAACTGTTTTAATTAGCCATTAATATCCAAAACTTAAGAACTTATATTAACAAGTTTATAATATTTTTACGCAACACAGCGAATATTGTTGGCTTATAATATTTTTTCATAGCAAAATTGTTATCGTGATGTAATTACAAATTTTTATCGCTACCGTTCCTGATATAAATTATTACTATATTCATATTAAAAAGTTACTCCATTTGCTAACAACCTTTCCTAAAACTCCTGTATAATTTTAAATGTATATATTAATAAACATGTGAAAGTATTTCCATATTTAATTTTCTAATAAAAATGTCTTTATAAAAATGGGCATTTTAAACGTTTTGATTTTATGAAAATATTAATATAACTTGCAATTAATCTAGAATTCTCTTTTATTTTCGTCGGTATAGATGACGATTTTATGAAAACTAGTTGAACTTTCCCACCGCGCACGACACATATGTGTACTTTCTCACCACGCACGAATATTTCGCGAACGCTGCGTTAAATAAATAAAAAAATTTATTCGAGGACGACAGAAAAGTCGATGAAACTTTTCACCAGCGAGGTAATAAAACTTTCCCACTCACCCTTGAGTTCCATGTCCGTGACCTGGTTTGCCTTGTAAGTGGCCGTCTCCCTGCGGTCGCCGACGATGAAGTAAATATTGGTGTACTCCTCGTTGTCGTTGCTGCCAGTTCCGTTCCTCGTCTCGTGGTCCATGGCCACGCGGATAGTTTCGGCCTTGAACCGCCTGCCGCTCCTCGTCGCTCGGCCTGGTTGATGCAGTTTTCGAGACTACCCGGCCTTGCTATTACGCGGGGCTGTCGAGACACAAAGGTGAGAGACTTAGGCACGAAATCGTCATCATTCGCAATAACAACGTAAGAAGTAATATTACTTCGCGCACCAATATTTTCTCACTCGTGATTATACGTTTCGTTACTTTCCCCTTATTACGTAAAAATCGAAAAAATAAATGAATCAATAAGATATATACCATGTATTGCCGTGTCAATAATATCCCAAGATTGCTCGAATTAAAGTTCGATGTATAATAAACGTGATGTTTTATGTTACACAAGATAAGCCTCTCTGTATGCCAAATGAAATAAAAAGTAATGATTTATTCAAGGATAATTTTATTTTCACAAAAATATATCTCTTTTAATTATTTAAAATATCAATATTAAAAATGTTTATCAAACTAGACTATGACTTAGTTAAATATAATTTAACTTTTAAAAAATGTGACATTTTTCAATTAGGAAAAGTATCAACTTAAGAAATAGAAAATATTTAAGAACAGAGAGAATTTTATAAAAAATAAACAAAATTTAAATTTAAAAAAAGGGTTTTAAAGCTTGAAATCTTTACTTTCAAATAGTTACTATTAGGTGTTGGAATTAATTCGTAGCGTTTTTTAATGAAAGAATGTTATTTATTTCACATGAGCATTAAAAAATACATTAATGAAAGTACTTCCCATCACTTGTAAAACGCTACGAATTAATTCCAACACCTAATATATTTTTTGAATTTATGTGTTTTGTAATTTTTACATATATTATAGAAAATTATGAATTAAACAAAACAGAAAATTTTTTCTTCATTTTTTTCCTTTTGTGGACCTGTCACATGTCCAAGAAAAATTTACAAAAATTTTTTAATTTCTTTTTTAAAAGCTGAAAGCTTTTTAAAGTTTTCCCTATAAAATCGTTTTTAAAAATGTCTCTACGATTTTTCATTACTGAGTTGTTACGAATTAAATAAAAGAAATATTTTGACTTTGATTGCTCATAACTCCATCAAAATCATCAAATTTAAAAAAACAGATTCTTAAATTCTCTCATCAAATAGAGTAAGATTTAGATTTCATTTTTAACAAAAATAACAGCTGTTTGAATTTTAAATAATAAATTAGGTAAAACGAATTTTTACACTCATCCAATATTAAAAAAAATATCGTGTTTAAATCACAAAAAGATAAAATTAAAAATTAAATACCAAATCAAAATCTTTCCAATTAATAAAAAAGAAAAGAAGAAATAGACGCATGTAAGGTCAGTAATGTACAATTAAAAGTTTCAAGATTGTCTCACCTTTGGTCGGGTGTGGAGGGGTAGCAACACCCTCGGCGAGCTCATCGTCGCATCGCCGGCCCGGCGGCGGCAACGACCGAGCCACCCCCGATTATCGCACCTATCGAACTCGTGTCTGCTGTTATATGCGACACCTGCCGCTTGTTTCGGAATTGGACGTACCGGGAACTCGTCAACGACGACGATCGACGATGGGGTGCAAGCGTGGCCGACCGTTCGTCTACAACCAGCCGGCACCACGTTTCCTCATGGTCCATCCTGTGACAAAGGAATTAATTAAATGCGTTTGACTTTGGTAATAAAAATATAATATTTGAATAGTTCTAAGTAAATATTTACTAAATATATATTTATTTAGTACAAGAACCATTAATTTAATTTACCTATCTTTTTTTATTGAGTAAATATCTATTTAGTGCGTAAGTAAACGTTTACTTAGTACTATAAAAAGAAATATGTATTAAAATTTAGTAAATTTTTTTCAATGTACCAAAGTAGGATGTGCACCTGCGCCAAAATACGAAATGTGTTTACTGCTTTTGACTTGGCGAAGCGAAAGTGCTTTGATTACAGGGTACGGTCGTGGACTTTCCCCAACAACAGTACGCAAAATACAGGCTGTGCTATAATCACTACTTTGTCGGAAATACATTGTAAAATTGAAATGCAATTGAAATTTATCATGAGAATTAACAGCAAAATTCGAGATCTAAAAGCTACATGATAATTTAAATGCGCTAAACAACGTGCTCTAATTGTTTTTCGTCTAGTAAAAATTAAAAGTAAAAATTAAAAGCGTCATATTTTATTACTGATTTGATGAATAATTTTTATAATTATTACATTCTTCACTTGCCGATTCGTACTCTGTATCGTAAAGAAAAATTTGAGAAAATCAGGAAACCGAATTTACTCTTCTGGTTAAAGAAATATGCTTTTTCTTTGCTGAGAGGAACTTTTTCGACGATACATTTCTATTTAGGATTAAAGGAAACATTTTTATGACTTTGTAATAATGAGAATGAAAAAGCTACAAAAACACGTAAAATTTTTTTGGGACCAAGAAACATTTCGTGGACAAATGATCCGTTGGAATATCGCGAAAACGAAAAAGCTTTCAATTCTCGGGAAAAGATTCCCATCCCTTCGGCCGTCTCTATCTGTTGTTATCTCTGTCTTTCTTCTTGTCGTGCCTGCCACGCCCAGGTAAAACTCGTGGGCGTGGGAAATTTACGATTTCTTTGCCCAAGGTCGCCGGTGGAAATTAGAAGCCGCAATATAGCTGGTGCCACCCTCGGCACTTACCACTTCAAACTACGTCAGGCGACGCCTCGGAAGAGAAGATGTATGAGCGGCATTGTAAATTTATGATGACATTTTCGTAAATTTGCCCTGAGCATCATTCTTATCACGTTATTGCTACAAGATATTAAAATTTACATTGATATCATCAGAAGTAAATATCGATTTTTCCACTAAGTATGCGAGTCGAAAGATTTGTATCAAAATTTCTAAGAATGTGATTCTTAATAATTTCAGATCACATTTTTTGACAAAAATATCGAATATGTAATACTGATTTCAATCAAATCTAATTTAATTATAATTAGAAAATTATTAAACATACAATAAAAAGTGTAAAAATTCTACCTAGTTTAGGATATAATCTTATATTTATGATATTAACATTGATAATGACCGAATGTTCTAATCGAAACGTATATTTTTATTTTATTTTATGTTATTTGAAATATTATGTTTTAGCAACTGTAATCTAGCTATTGCTCATATACTCTAGTGTCACTTTTATATTGTTTAGTTACAAACGTTATATAGTTTTGTTAATTTTAACATTTTTGCATATTTCAGAAAGTCCACTCGTTTTTAAGTTAAAATTAACATTTTATTATTTACAGTGTTTACATGATATATTGAATATTTTATAAATTGCAACTTCAAACAGATAATAAATTTATGATCAAAATAAATCAAAATTCATTTAATTTTATAGAGATAAAAGTATGAGAAGTAATTTTTAAAGAAGATAATTAATCTTTACACCCCAGAACTATATATTAAAAGAGAATTATTAGTGAAGTTAAGTTTGCAACCTTCTTTTACACACTCTCTAGGGTATGCACGAGGTAAAAAGGCGTAGGATGTTCGAAAGGGAGTAATCATTCCTCAGCAAAGTGGCTAACTATGACGCAATATCCACGTGACTTTAGATTCCAGCTTTCAGCAAATTTCTACTCTCTGAGACGAGAGGAGTCAGTGGAGAAGATCGTAGAGTCTAATTGGATCAGTATCGAGTGCTTTTTCCCTTCGAAAGAGCGCAAAAAACAGGCTAATAACGATGTCACCAATTTCTGCCTATTATTCACTGCGACAATAATTTGCAATAATAAATCGCTTATTAGGCCGATTAAAAGTATTATTTAATTAAACGACTCAAATATAATGAATAAATAAAAAGACGCAGGAAAATATATTAAACCTGTAAAGGTTATGGCATACAAAAAGAACTTAAACAAGAAGACATGGTAATAAAGTTATTATCTTACGGTCTCTACTGTGATTGACTTACTCGCTATTACGTCTTTATTTAGTTTTCTGTGTGTCATGATTTTTAAATGCATAAAGATTAATAGTATAAGAATAAGAATACAACAAATAATCACATGAGGAGTACGATGAGCTGAATGAGCCATTTCACAAATATTTTAATTCGCTTTTCTTGAATGCTAACTGTGTGATCTTTTGTATACGTACACGGATTTTTGTTTTTTATACATCGACCTATCAATGATACATATATGTATACTTACGATTCTATCAATTTGCATACATATATATTTAATAAATCTATTATACATAGAATATTTTTCATAATTTAATAGTGCACATGCTGGAAAGAGATCAAATTAAAAAACTAATTTTTTTATATTAAAATTAAAATACAGGGAGTGTAACTGCACAAATAAACATTCCTATCTCAATTTCTACCATATGATATCGCTTTCTTTATACAGTAATCTTTTACAGCCGGTTGAAACCAGCTCGAATAAAAGCTCGACAACGCGACGCGCGACGGCGACGTTCGTAACGTATCAAAGCTGAATAAAATCTGTCCAGAGTGGGATCTGTCCTGACGCCGGCGGCCGTCATGACGATATAATTGGATTGCACTAGTCAGTTTCATACGTGATAACGCTGGAAGACGCGCGGGGAACATAATCGAATGAGGTGCACCGGTGCATTGACGGCGAGGTCGAGGTCGACAAGGGAAAACATCGTGGACGTGGAAAAATTGTAAAACCAATCAACATCCATGATGTAGACTCGTGGAAAGCAATGCAAGTTGAACCGATTGTAAAGATTTTTCACGACTCCTTGAGAACGAAGCGAGGGTGATCGTCTCTTCATCAATAATGTACGGCATTTGGAGAGAGCTTTAAAACGTATGGAGAAAGAGGAAAAAGAAAGACAGAAGAATTTTACGAGTATTATATGAATCAACGTTCGCGTATCCTCCGCGTCCTGAGATTTTCTTAACGAAGGATTGTCAAGCAGTGAATGGTTCGCAGATTTGCATTCGAAAAGTTCGCTCGAACACTCTGCGGCCTATTCGTTTGTCCTACTCGAAATTATGAAGCGTAATAATTGAAATGCCATGTCTTTTATTTATTCAACGGCGCGCAGTGAATTGCTATATTGTCACGTTTCTGCCGCAGATGCTTTAATCGCTATTGGATTATTTTTATTAAATTTATATATTATCCTTATTTTTCTCATATTTTGTTTTCCCTTTGGAAATACGTACATACATGAATTGAAACGTCAACTCCTCGTTTGTTTTGTTAGCTTGAATACAACCGATATGTAGCTGTCTCTTGATTCACGTTGCAGATTTTTTTTTTTTTTTTTAGGACGGATCTGGATGTTGTAGTACGAAAAAGTAACAGAGTAACAGAATTTGAAAAAACATCTGCGACTTCCTATTTTGTATGTTTAGTTAAATGATTTTTCAGAGATTTTTCACTGTACGAATGTATGTAGAAATAAATACCGCGGTAATTCTAGAAATAACTTACATTCTTGTACAATATATAAAAAAATACAATCTCAAATTATTTTTATTTCTCACTTCAAACCCAAAATAAGACTTTGAATAATTATTGTAACAAAGAAAAATTTGAAGCATTTTCTTTTCCTAAGACAATCGACTTTCTAATAAATTATCAGAGTAGCGTCCAAAGATCATGATTGGCTGCAGATAATTCTTAATTAAGTATATTTACTTAAATATCAACAGATGTATATTCACCTTCTTACCTCCTTTTTGATTACGTTTTTTAACCACTGGAGTAATGTGCCGCAGAAAGGCGAAATAGGCTACAAATAGATTATCAGGTGACATTAGTCGGAGCTGCGTAGCGTTATACGATCAATCGGCTTTGAGGCATGCAACCACGGTGATTATTAATCCCAGCAAAGAGGGGTTTTACTGACGCAACAGGATTAAAACTCGATTCACCCGCACGTACGCAAGTATCCTCTCGATGGTAAAGGATTGCATTATGGATATTCATATTGCGTCCTTCAAAATAAATACCGGGGGAAGAGACGTCAAACGAAATTAAATTTCTAACAATTAGCGATGATAAAAAAAAAAATATTTCAGACTGCGTTTTATTTCGGTAATAACGAAATATTTTTACGCAAATATCCGTGAAAATTGGTATACGTGTATACAGTTTATTGGTGACATTTCAAAATCTGATTGATTATTTCCCTTGATGATGCCGAATTGATTCCGAATGCAGTTTCCAGGTCCAGTTTAATTTTGACCATGGAATGGTTGTAGCACGATTGCGTAACATGGTCTTTTTTAATCTGTTTTCCATTTTCCAATTTTCGAGAATGCTCGATGTTTTACATGGCGGAATTGTTGCTAGTCTATCACGCCTGCGCCGTATTTGCAGCAAGCTACAATCGATAGCGTATGTCGCGACCGAGTTTATCGAGAAATCAACGTGATATATGTCGTTGAAGACGATCGACTTTCCATCTATTCGCGAATTTCACTGTTACAAATTTACCGATAATAATCACTGTATTTATTGCAGCAAAAATATTCGATTAAGTAAACGCGTTAATAAAATTTTGAAATCATTCCATTATGCAGCGTGTTTTTGAACTGAGAGCGCGGTATGTTTTACAACTTATAAAAAACTAAATGAATAATAAATAATTAAGTAGTATAATATTAGGTGTTGG